GCACTATTTATCAATCTGTAATAAAAGACGTGAGGAAATTCTGTCTTTTTTAAAGACAAAAATTTTTGAGGCAAAATACCTAAAAAGAAGTTTGTAAAAAAACTTTTATCGCGCTGACCTCTCTTTTTGTTAGCTGATTGGAGGTGGATATCGGCTTGAGATTGCTCGTTCTGTTGCCAAAGTTTGCGAGTTTTTGGCTGATCACACTTTCTTCGTTCGTTAGAATTTCTAAGAGACATTTCGGGTCTATGAGGTCCTTGTAAGCCACCACTCTCTGAAATTTTCTGTTTATTGTCATTTTTCTTCTAGTATGTTGGAACCTACCGTTGAATAGTCGTATAGGGTTCTGGGCTTTTCCACATTTTTTTGAATGGCATTCTGAAATAAGAGGATTGTTTATGCGGTTTGATCAAATAAACACTTGGACAGTGACTTTGTCTTTTTCTGATGGAGTCCTTTGAGTTTTTGATTCAAATTCGAGCAAATTGCCCCCTTATATTCTTGTTCTTCAACTGAGGGAAATATGTGCTAAAAACGTGGTCAAAATTGACTTTATGTGCCTGCCACTGAAACTGAATGGCGCGTTTGATTCACTCATTCAGTGAACGGTTTCTCAATGTTTTGAGGTTTGAGATAGAATGAAAGGGTCCTTAAACATAGAGAAACTTAGGTCAAATATTTAGAAACTTTATTCTATAAAGTTGTTCTGTTAAAGTGTGTTTGAGCGGAAATTCAATAGCTAAAGTTCTTTAACAGCTACTTTATTGCTGGAAAGGGCATTTTGTAAATTCAACATATGCGTTAAACAATCGATTAGAATCTCGTATAAACAACTTACAATTTTTTTATGAATGACAGAAAATAACTGTGATCTAAGATCAAGCGACTGGCAGGGTTCACTGGGATTTGACATGTCCTAGATAGATTAAAATAATTTTTATAAATAGACCGTTTCTGAAACCAACGAATATTGGTGTAGAAAACGATAAGTGTTAGTAGAAAATTGGATGGTTTTATATGGGAGTTTAAAGCGGGCGTTTGAGCCGATTGGTGCGAATTTTGGCGCCAACGATTACGATATGAGTTTTTCAACGGTTCGCAGATAAATAATTACTTAGCTGACCAGCAAAAGTATCAACAAATTGAGATAACCCACATTTAAATTAATTAAACATGCGGCTTTTTAAATATTAACCAAAACACGATTTGTAAATAGGCGCAAGTCAGCCAGGCGATAAACCCTAAGAAATTGGAATCATTTTTGGAACCTTTGATTGGAATCATTGATTTGCTGAAATAAATGTTCAACTATCAAGGCTGATTGATTCTTAGTTGGTTAATCGTCTTCATTTTTTTAAGGAAAAACTCATCAAACAAAAAAAGTACAATCGAATATTGAAAAATAGCTTTTAAGCGCCATATGTTAGCAATGTTCCTTACCTGCTCAGTTTGCTCGACGCTTTGCGCACATTCACTCAAATTCCGAACTGAAAACAGTAATAAAACACTGGAAATGATCCTGAGCAGCTCCATGACATATTTGGAGCAAAGTAGTGTGTTAAACAGCACTAGTAAAGTAATTCCTGTTTTGTATTGACCCCTGAATATCTTCGCTCAGTCTTCATGTACGAGATAAAATAGTGCTGTACGAGGCGCTTTGGATAAATACGCAATATTTTGGAAATTTCATTAAAACTAATGAGCTTATTATCTTTCGCCTTGAGGCATTTAACTGGGGATACGAAAGAGAACCTTATTGATCAGTTTCGAGGTCTTTGGCCATCAGTTTGGCCAAATTGCGAACGTTTCGTCTAGTCCCGTATAGCAGGGCCCTTGTATCCGAAACTCTTAAATCGATATCGAAAGATGTTGACAGTTTTTGGCTGATCGCTAATTATCCAAAAAATGTGTCACCTAGTTTCACGGATAATTTACTAGGCTTTTGCTCTAATTTTTCAAATATTTTACTAAACAAGTTGATAATCGGTCAGCTTTTCCTCTCCTATCTCTCCTCGTATGTAGGATATGCTATAATTATGAAAAACTAAAAAACGGCTATACATCAATGGGCTGCATTAATAAAACTTTATGATCTGTAAATACAAACGTTTTCTTGTTATGTAATGGAGTTAATCGTTATTTTGTTTCGCTAGGTTGCTAATTGAATGAATTAACTGCGGAAAAACGACAGTGATTTATCGATGTTTATACTATTTATTTTCAAATTTTTACAAAATATGGTTTTGAATACTGTTTTTCCTTTACATTTCATATTTGCTGGTTAATTTCGTTTGCTGATTGTCTTTTTGAGCAGACAAAATAAAAACAATAAACCCCAATTCCTCGGACTTAGTTGTCGATAAAATTTTGCGACATACTCATTTTATACCATTAACTAAGATAAACGGGGTCACGATTGTATAACGTTAGTTTGAGATTAATTCGGGAAATCAAAAGTTTTTTTTTGTTTTTAATGTGTATCCGCGTTGACCTGATTGATATCAGGGCGTTAGATTACGAATCCCATTGGACAGAAGAGGACTTCAATAAATACATCTGTTAATTATATTTTAAGTTAAAATATTTTGTTCTGTTGGCCTCCTGCTGTGCGTTCTGGACAAATTCTCCTCCATTTTGCCTTACAAAACTGTCAACATTTCCTTATCGATGGTTCACTTTCGAACGAATTCTGTGGCTCAAATGGTTCTTGAGAAACTTCGAAAAAAGCAGCGTCAGGTATGAGTCGATTTTGCGAGTCATAGAAAAATGACGCAAATCTAAAACTCTTTGAAATCAAAACTTTTTTGAGAAAACTGCCAGCATTTCCTTATCGATGGTTCACTTTCTAAAAATGTCATTTATTTGTCTCTAGAGTTATGTAAAAATGAGCGTTCTTGCTCATTTTGCTTCTGGGAAAAAGCAAAAAGGGGAAGGAAATGTTTGGCATAATCTTGCACCTCAGTGTTCAATATTCAAATTTTATTTTCTGGATAAAAACTGCTCAAATTTCCTCACGCATGTTGTTATGACTGAATCGAATTTTCAATGTGTGATGTTTGAGTCGATTTTGCAACTCACAAAAAGCACACAAATCTAAAACTTCTTGAAATCAAGGCTTTTTTGAGAAAACTGCCAACAATTCCTCATCGATAGATCACTGTCTAAAAAGGCCATTTATTTATCTCTGGAATGACTTGAAAATGAGGGTTTTTGCTCATTTTGCTCCCAAGAAATGAGCAAAAACAGGACGAAGAACATGCAATTTTTGACATATTCTTGCACCTAAGTGTGTGATATTCAAATTTCGCCTAAGTGTCTGATATACAACTTCTTCTATAAGGATATACTTCTGCTTCTCTTTGCGCTGAAGAAGGAAAACACCATTACTTTGTTTAAAATTCGGAAAACCTATAAATTTAACTCCCTTGGTATTTGAATCTTGTTCCTCATGAGTTTCCACTTCATCATGGCTTTGTTCTTTACTTGTACCAACTCTTCCTTTTATGTCTTCTTCTGTTCACTGATTTTTAGTATTTTCTATCGCTTCCACCAGTTTTTCCCAAACATCTTATTTCGTTGCAAAATGTCCATCTGTGTTGGACCCACCAGCTTCTGCAAGGTCTATTCGTAAAATATTCTCGTCGCTTCGTTCTTTTTTCATTTATTTTTTGACTTAAATTTCTTTTTACTTCCATTTTGTCTTTTCAAACTCTTCTGTTAGCTGTTGCTCTTTTCCAGTTAATCATCTTGAACCCATGCGTGCACATTGGTCACACCTTTTCTTTTTTTGTCATTCCTAGGCAGCACAGCTGATATATATAAATTAATCAAAAGAACAGAAAGTAAAAGGCGTGTTCGATAAAAATTTATGTATTTAGACTGTATAAAAGTACACAAAATTGTGGATTACATGATGAGAACAACATCTCGATTTCTATAAATATAGTTTGGAGGAATGCAAAACATTGATGCATGTTTCTATTGTTTTGCCACACTCACTCTGAACACTTAACTAGTACTAAACAATTGATAAATACTTCGGAATGACTCTACATACATACATACATACTAACATACATTGTTGGCATTTATATGCTTTATAAATAGTTTTCGATATACTTTCAGGGCATGTCAATATTGCACAAACCGGCCGAGATTTCCGTTTATATACAAAAATGGTAAATGATAGGCAAACATCTAAGAATAATGACTAGGCGCGTTATATCATTAGCCGATATAACAAACAAAATCGAGAAATTAAGCAAGTCAATAAATAATAATAATAATAGTAAACTTAAAAATAATGACTAAGAAAGTTGCGCGACACCATTTTGAACGAAAACTGCGGAAGTTTTCTGCAAATGGTGTGTTCAGACTAGTAATACTCCCATTTCAGTTGTACAAACATGTTTTTTCAAAGCATGTACAAACATGTGTTAATTTGTTTGCACCCACTAGAAGCTTAACGAAGAGCAGAAAAATAATTAAAAATAATCTAAAACTAACAAAAACCCTGTTACATATCGGCTAATAGTACTTTTATAATAAACCTATTTCCTAAGCAATTTCGAGTCGTCTATTAACGCCCTAATTGAGATTTTTTAAGTACCAGCTGCCCGCAGGACACATGCAATCGTACGTATATGTACAAGAAAATAAATAAGCACCGTAATTAAAAATCTTACTCAAATAGACTAAAGGAACAAACTAGATTACGACTAATTGGCACATATGAGAATTCACAGATTCAACACTTAAATTAAAAGCTTTTTAAGGCCACTGCTGCTTGATCCAACCCTTTAAAGGCTTCACCATGTAAGAGGAGGGCAAATGTCTTTCACAATCTCATTCATGCGCTAAGCTTAATTTTTCCAATATATTCTAAAATGAGACTACATTGTGGCCCCTTGAAGGAATTTTAAATATTATCTACATTTCTTGGTCCGCTTTTCTCAGCGCCATAAACATTGTCGCTTTATTTGAGGAATCGCTTCCATTCAGCTGTTTTGATATATCAAACCTTGATAGCCATCAAAGGGTAACTGCCAGCGCCTCTTCCAGCTGCTTTGCTTCCTCCGAAGGATTTTTTGGAGAAGTCCATCGGCTGTTCTTGAGCTAGCATGTGATTGAACACTGCAGCATTCAGCACCATTGAAGGATGCTTAATCGTGCTGTAGAGTATCCGTTCGGGATTTGGGGATATCACTGTAGATCGATAAAGCATGGGCGATCTCACCGCTTCTGCACCGCGTATCACTGAGTCAGCCAATCTATTGGCTGCCACTATAACCGGAGTGGGCGAAACAACAGGCTTTTCTGCAAAACTCTACATTGTATATCGGCACTTTTTTGTGAAATTAGTAGCTACCTTTGTCTGGCGTGTTTTCTCTGGATGAGTGTCGGTTGATCCTCAGACAGGACGACTCCTCATGCTTGTACAGGTACGACTTGAGGGCGAAGGCCTTTCCGCATCGCCCACAAACATGAGGTTTGGTGTTGGAGTGGGTTTGGATGTGGGCTCGGAGATTCGACTTATCGGCAAAGGCTTTGGAACAGATCGTACATCTGAACGGCTTCTCTCCTGAAACAGGCGTTTTATTTAGCTTGGTGAGTTTCGGAACGGTTGGTGCCTTAAAGTGTCCTCTTTACCTGTGTGAGTTCTGATGTGTCCTTGCAACAGCCACGGCCTGGAGAAGCATTTTCCGCAATATTGGCACTTGCAGCCCTGGTTGTGAGTGCGTACGTGCATGGAGTAGGCGGGCATGCTCACATAGAGTTTGTCGCAATGTGGACATCTTCTAGCCTTTTTATCCGCTGGACTTCGGTGCGTTTGTCGATGGCGAGCCAAGTTGCTGGATGTGCTGTATCTGAAAGGAAAATACTGTTCTTATCCAGTCCTCTGGGGGTTCTTTGTTGTTGGTACCTTTTGCCGCACTCTTGGCACTCGTGGTCGTTCGACTCCGAAGAAGTGCTGCTGGTGCTTGAGATCTCGCTGGTACTGCTATGTGGTAGTATCACCGGTTGTGCTTTGGATAGGTTAAATAGGGTTTGGTTAATTTGTTCAGTCTGGAATGGAAGCAACATTGTAAATCTCCTGGAGCTCCAAGAGGACCTGGTGGCGCTCACCTTAAGTAAGTGATGTCTGGGTGTTCTGGAGCTCTTGTCGAACAGCTTGTGGGTGTAGGTGATGAAGTGTTTTTCTCGTTCGCGGTCCCGCTCATCCATGCTTTGCAGCTCCTGGAGATGGTGGTTTTCGAAATCCGGGCTAAAATCCCCAAGGGCCTCATGAAGCGCCAATCAATTTTGTGGGTTGCAAGCTTACCCAATGAATTGCTGATTTCTGCGCTCAAGAATCTGGCCGGTTGCCACAGCTACTTCCGCCAGTTTCGTCAAATTATAGAGCTCGTCCGGTAGATCCGAGCTACTGTCCGACATCTGGATATCCTGGATTGCTTCAGCTGTGCTCACCGAGTGTTCGGGACTCAAAGCTGCAATTAAGAACACTGTGATTCATGCTCATTCCAACTGAGAATTGACTGAGCTAGATAAGTTCGAATCGGGTGCAAGCGCGAAGGCCATCTGGCTAAGACGCATTCACAGTTTATTCTGGCACTTTCGAAAGTGGCCGATCCGGATATTTGGGTCTCAAAAACAGACATACAGGATATAAAAAGTAATGACGCCCGAATTGCGTCTTGGACGCGAAAAATATTCGGCGATCGTAGCGGATAAATGAAACTGTGGACTTTGGCTGGATGCCAACACCAATAAATTTCCTTTCAGTTTGGTTTTTCGTGTAAACGACCACTTACTGATTGTATATAATTGGCTATTGGGCGGTTTCATTATAAATGAGCATGATTTTCCATTTCGACATCGGCGCCTAATCGTACTTCGTTCTGGAACAACTGCATGCTTTTAGCTGGATCCTGCTGGATTCATTTCATTATTTTTCCTGAGTTTTTTGAAATTACATTTCTAAGATTCCAAGGGTTGAGTTGATTTGAGGAGAAACTACTGAGAGGAAAAAGAACCAAAGTCGCTTTTTCAACTGACAAGATTTGAATGAAGAAGTTGCACCATGTAGTGAGGAGGACCAAGTGGAAATGTCTTCATCTTAGATGTTATAAGTGCAGAAATGTTGAATACTGTTCAAGAAACAACCTGCACTTCTTCCATATGTGTCATTGCGATTTGGGGTTGGTTTAGCAAGAAGGCAACAGAGCAAAATGTCGGAAGCACAGAACTGAAGAAGCAATGAAAGTATGAGCAAAATAAATCAGTCGCTCCTTTAAATGACATTGACTGAAGAAGAGGACGCACCATATGGTAAAGAAGGCCAAAAGAACACTTCTGTATTTCAAGAAGAATAGTGCGGTTATTGCAAAGGTGAGCAAGAAGGTAACAGGAGAAAAGTTAGGGAGCATTGCACAAAGCTGAACAAGCCGAGAAATTATTACAGGAAAACAAACAAGGATCAGAGTCGCTTCTTCAAGTGGTAGACGTTGAATGAAGATGCGCCATGTAGCGAGGAGGATCAAGTGGAAACATCTCATGCCCAAGGGGAGAAATGTTGTTGTCGTTCATTCCATATGCATGATTTGAAGCACAAAAAAAGTATTAAGAATAGAATTCAATCAATAAAGTGATAATGATCGGGTGGACACTTTAATGTGTGGTGAACGAATCATGATTTATCAACACTCCAAAGTGTTGCGGAAATGTTGATGGAGAAGTGCAAAAAGAGCCAAACATTGGCTCAAGAACCCAGCATTAATATACACTAATAGAACCTCGAAAATCCACTTGGGGTCATTTGAGTGCAAGGAAGTTCAATGTCTTCCGTGTTTTGGAAAGATAAAGCGGAAGGAAATTTTACATTATATTAAGCTGCGAAGCTCTGTTAGGTCTTCAGACGCATTATCGCTCCATTATTGCCACACCAAGTGCGAAGTAAAATGTTTATTTAACAAGCGGAAAACTGACTTTAACAGCTCAATAACAATCTTGATTTTTTGCAATTAAGTTTCATTGTTCTCGGCTGATTGACTGGATGGACAGCCAAAAGGCGTGTTTTGGTGTTTTTGAAAATAAACTGTGTTTATGAGCACCATCAACTACCAAAAAACACAATGCAGATTGAGAACAAATCCTTAGCTGTATGGACAGGTTGTAAGCCAAGTTCTCTATAAGTACCGTTGTCTATGTTTATCGCAAAAATATGGGTCGCAAATTAAACCTGTGACATTTTCGCATTAACGAAAGCAACCGTTTTCTGACGCACCTCATCGATGACTCAAAAACTTCCTGGCTAAATGATACGGCTACTTGTTAAATTCTGATCCGTTGCCAAAACGCTAACAAGTAGCTTCGCTGTGAATGTCCAGCGCATAAATATGTCGACTCTATAATTATAGAAAATAGAGATGTTTGGCCGATTATTGTGGAATGCGAATGGGCTAAGGCTTGATCTGTAAGGACGCAGAATGAGGGTCAAGAACTCTGGATTAGTGACCAAACAGATTCTGGATGTGTTTTGGAGTTGGTTCAATGGAATCAGTTTAACGGGAGGTAAAACTGGAGCAAGAAGCTGAAGCCAGTTGAAAACCTAATTTTTCAAATTGTTTCTCCTAGTTTTGGACTTTATGGTCATTTCGCTTCTTCTATCTAAAAGTTTCACTGGCGCTTGGCGCTTGGAATTTAAGTTTCAACAAATTCCTGTTAAGTATGATTGGGATGAACAAACCAGCCTCTGCACAGTTTCACCTTTCCTAAATTGGGGCTAGTAAACCCCTACTACTTACTAAATTAAATTCTTATCGATTTTAGTCTGGAAGATACTTACCTTTTTGGTTCTCGCCCTCTTCCTCCCCAGTAAGATATCGTCGATGGGTCATTAAAAAAGCTCGCGGCATTCCGACACTGTTACCGGTACTTTTTCACCGCAATCAGGGAAATTTTCGCAGAAATAATTTAAGCAGATGATCCGGAAGCACTGACAATGGCAATGGAAAATGCCGGTGATTTTTTCTGAAGGCGAGAGGAATTTTTTCGAAATTTTCTAACCACCGTGCTGCTGTTCCTTCGGTGGTGGGCAAAAAGACAATGTGTTGCGTGCGGAAAAATCAAGAACCAACTGAATGATCTTAAGTCAGTATGCTTAGCTATATTTACTTTTCGGGAACGTGCCAAGTTTCAGGTGGTAGGGAGAGTCAGGATAGCTGAAGTTTAGTATGCGCGCATATGGTGCTTTTTTACGCCATTATCCAGATTCTTCTAACAGTTTCTTTTTTCCTTAGTGTTCAATCTCGGCGGTTTCCACGATTGTTCATTAGGTATTTAGAGTTTTGATGATTGATTAGTTGCTACGAACAAATTTGCATGGTTTCTCGGGTTTATACTGGCTGCAAAGCAGGATTTTTTAGTTTAACTTTTTTGGAATCTCTCGACTCTCGGACTAATCTCATAGGTACGTACAAAGTACCAAGCTCACACATGTAACCCTCTCGAGGGGATTGGTTCACTCATTTGGCCCCCACACATCATACAGGATTTTAAGAGTTTTAGCAGCCACATTATTTCAGTATATTGACTCATTTCTTCATCCGGCTTGATTCGCAATGGATGCCCATATTAATCAGTGCAAACATGCAAATTTTTCCATTAAGTTTTGAGTGCAAATTGAGGCAGTTTTAGAGGCTCAGAAGCAAACCGTTTCACTTTGTTTTGTGTGTTCGCCTGATTGTCCTTTTGAGAGTCTATTCCTGAGTGCTAATCACTAAAAGTTAATAGTTTTTTGATTGTCTTGAAATTTTGCATAATTTGTTGTGATTGTTTCTTGTGATTTTATTAGTTTTTCGAATGCAATTTGGTGATTTTACTTAAAATATTACTTGGGAAAGAACAACAATTTTCTGCTCTTTGCCACTCTAAGAAATGGCACACTTTTAAGTACAGCTTAATTTGCAATTAATTTTTGGACTGTTCTGTACTTTTCAAATTTTCTGGTGAATAATGAGGCTTCAAAAAAATGTATTATTGCAATTAACTATTGTTAGTGAATGTGCTTAGCGTAATTGTCGCAAAAACTCTTTAGTACCTACTTGGTGTGTGCCACTACATGTGCTTGCAACCTGAGAACTTTTTGTAAGTTGCTCCTGAATCGATTGTGCTATTTTTGCTCAATAACAGCGCAGAAAAAAACAATCAAGTCGGATTCATGGAAATAGATTGGCTTGAAAAAATTTTAGGGTCAGGGAGTCACAGTGAAAATGTGCCAGGTTTCCTTTGGCCTCGTTCTCCTCAGATTTGCGCGTTTCCAATTGGAAAGATTATGGCCAAATTTTGTTCGCCTTGGACAAATCGCCCATCTAATTTCCACCTGTTGTTTTGCAAGTGGCCATTTTTATAATTAGGCGAACGCATCGCGCAAAATGCTGATTGGACCGTTTATTTATGCTTGCTTTGAATGGCTGCCAAAATCCCGAAATTTTCAACAGGTCTTTGTTGACGATCCACAACGGAATCAAAGTTCGGACGCATGTTTCGTATTCAAACACTTGCAAGATCTGGTCTGGGAATTTGAGTGAACTGGAGTTGTAAAGAATGGGAGGATTCACAACAGTTTTGTGCAATTTGATGCGATTTATCAGCATCATTTTCGTTCATTTACACCGAGCTCTCATACAGGCTGCCAGCATTTTCATTGAACTCGTTCAAGGTGGGCAGATCTGCTCTTTTTTATTGAGATGATAATGCATTTATAAGTTTCGTTTTAACTACTTTTGTTTGAGCTTTTATGGCTCTTTGTTTAGTAGAAATTTTATGGAATGTGATTTTTTTGAATAGTTAGCACGGTTATTCTGTTCTCAATATATTGGGAGAATGGAAGCTGTTTAAAGTATGGATTTTCCTTTTAAAATTGATCGGTTTCTTCTCAGTGGACGGTTCAGCAACAATCCATCGAGTCTTTCCAGCATTATCTAAAATCAATGCTAAAGGAAAATAGGCGTTTCTTAAATGTCTTTAAAGCGACGTAAATGAGTTTGCAATGTTTTTTTTACTTGGGCCTTTCCTTTCATTCAAAGGTTGGCAATCATTAAAAGCTATTCGAATTTTGGACACAACGGAGGTTAATTTGCAACTAAACCATTCTGGCAACTTTTGTATTCAAGGTTGTGTTTCCTCGTTCCTTCACCCATAATTTTTCCCTGCTTATTAGCATTTTTCGACGCATAACAGTGCATAATTATTTGCGGATCCTTCTGTTTATCCTTGTACACATAGTTTTTTCGACTTCCAGCATTTTATCCTGTAAAAAAGAATTGGAGCAATATGTTCTTTAATTCAAACGAAAATTCCTCGCTTTTTGAATGTTTTTTTTTCAGAAAACTGTATATCATTAAAGGATGTTGCAGTTAAGGTTGTATCATCTGCGCATCTGATGTTCTTTCTTTATCCATTCTCTGCTGCCGAATTCACTGGTCTTGTTTTATTTGGTTCGATGGTTTTGTTTTTGCTATTATTATTTCGGTGAATTGTTCAAATGATTTTCATGTCTTTGTTTCTTGTCACTATGTTTTTTCCGGCAAGTTTTGGAATTTCATTAACGTTTCGTCCGGTGCTGGAACTTTGCCATTTTTAAGATTTTGACGTTGAGTGTTCTGATTCATTTCTATTATTTCTTGAATCCCATAAGCATCTTCTTATCTCTGCAATTGTTCGATTTCTTCACATTGTTTGTGATGTTCTTCCTTTGCTTCTCTAATTCTGTTTCGGGTTATTTTTGTAATATTTGTGTTTTGGAAGGAAATTTCTATTTAATGAGGATTTTTATCGGTTGTTGATCGCGCAGTGTATTTTTTATGTATTTTTTATTTCTATTTTCTGGCCTTGTGCCTGTGCTCTTCTACCTTCATGTCTTCTTTATCATTTTTTAAATTTTTCTAATCGGGCGTTTTTTGCACAATTTTTTATTCTAAACGGCACCATTATTATTGTTTTGTGCCTTATTTTAACCATAGATTAACTAAGTAAACTGATTTTAACCGTCTGTTTTGAACAACGTTTGTACTAGTCTCTTATTTATTTATTTATTTATTCATCAATCATTGATCCAGTCCAGCTCGCAAGGAAGTGATCACTTACCGTATATAAGATAGTTTCATGCTATTGGTCCAAATCTATTTTTATGGCCAACAGTTCCAGCTATTCATTTTCAATTTTCCATTAAGAATGACTCTGAATTTGAAGTGTTTCTTGTAATTCGTTCAATTTCTCATGCTTCATGGCTACTGGTTACTCATTTTGCTGCAATTTTCGATGCTTTTCCGTTCCCTCCCAATATAGTTTCATCCAATCATCGAGCGTTCTTTGTCACGATTTTTCTGCGTTTTAGTATTTTCAAGTCATGAAACTATTATCCGTGTACAACTTTGCGCTACTTGTAGCTTTGTAGCATTTTTTACATCCAATAGAGTGTGGAAAGTATTTTTTTCTTATTGTCATTTATCGACTTCTTCAGTTAAGGCTGTTGAAATGTTTGCCTTTGTGTTGCTCTTGCTCGTTCGTTGACGAAGTAATCCTTCATGCACTTTCTCACTTTTTTAAGATTTTATATTTCTTGTTTTTATTGACGTTACCGCAAAACCTTCTACCAATTCACTTGATCTTCCTTTATCATTTCTCCTGTTGTTTGTTGGGAAGGTGTACTTCCTGCATTACTCTGCGTATATTGATCGCTATCATCAACAGCTTCTTCACTATCTTCTTTGGATAGAATGGAGTTGATTCTGTTTCATGGTGGATAGAAGCTGCTGGAAAATCCTTCGAAATGAGTCAGTGGCCGCAAAGTTGTGAAGACGGGAAAAAGTGGTTTATATGGCAGCTGGCCAAGTTTTTCCAGACGAACCTGGCGTCTTAACGCATACCAGATCCAAAATTAGATCGGCTTAGTCGAGGCGTCGGCGTCGGCGTCTTAATCCAGGGGCGTCGATGGCACGCTTGAGTAGGTTGTCGCATCAGAAACTGTTGTTTCTTCCAGCTAATTTCCATCGCTAGATCATGCGATCTATGGAAAATTTGCTTTGTTTCAAGTTTTGCAAGTTTGGTAGATCAATCGCTGGTTGGTTGTTGTCATTATTAGCATCTAAGCACAATGATTAGATTAAAATATTTGCCTATTTAAACGGCATCAGAGTCGCCGCCGGCGGTATGTTTACAAAAATCGAACTAAACAAAATCCGGAGGAACGGGAGGAAATTTCTATTTTAAATATCCCACCTATACATCCGCCTTGATGTGGTGCATTTACAACCGGATCTGGCAATGGAACATCCATCAGCGTTCCATCCTTTGCGCCTCCCCAAGAAAATAAAGGACCGCACGCAGCATTGTCTCCGCTCTGAGTGGTTTTCCATAAACCATCTCGACAGCCACAGCTTAAGATCTATTTTCGGCCAGTCCATAACATTGAACATGAATTTCCTTTCGTCTTTTAATTCTTTGTTCGATTTTAAATGGTCGTTCGGGGAAATCGCATGGGGAACAACATATACAAGACGGGTTGGAAACGTTCGCTCAAACAGCCAGGTGAAGAAGGAAAATAAAATTGGTTTCGTCTCGAAAAATCGGGGGAGGATTTAATGACAGCCTGGAGGGTTTGTTTAGCCCACCTTGCGAATTTCTGCCCTCCAATTTAAGGGTCAACGACTAGACAGATTGCCAGACTGGAAGGAGGTTTCGAGGGTTCTGCATATCGGAGCCTGTCTGTTTATAATGAGTTTATAATAAGGGTGATTGTCATTAAAAATGGAAAATTAGGGCGAATTTGGAAATTTGCTGGAACTGAGAAACTCAGCAGCCTCAGAAGTTCCTGCCGAAGAACCTCTACATATGAAATGGAAGGTGTGTTTGTGTCTTTACACAAATCCAAAATAAAAGAAAGTAGCTGTTTCCAGGATGGAATCAATGAGATGATGAAAATAGGAAGGACATCAAAGATGCATGTCCTACGTAAAGCGGAAGAGGAAGTGACAATGATTTATTGAATCAATTATGTGAAATTGATCGAAAAACCACACGGAAAACGCAAAATCTGAGCCCCCAATAGAATGAAAGCATCCGATGTTTGCTTATGCAACGTCTATTAAAGTTCCGGAAGTTCTGGCGTGTGCTGAGGGTGACACCCCTAACCCTAAAGCATGTGCCCTTCGGCCTTCTTGTCTAGCCAAACATGTTCCCAGTTGTTTGCACATTCCCAAATCGTCTGATTATCTCGTTAAAAGCGAGTTCAAATGGTTGTTTCCATAAAGTCATCACCACATGCCAAGACACACTGTGCGGCCCACTCGAAGGTGTCACCAAATCAGGTATCAGTTTTTTGTGAAGCACTTGTCTTTTAATATTTCCATAATTTGAAAAAAACAACAGATGTTTTTATCAGTTGCCAGTTGGGCCCCATGGTTTTATCATCGTGTGACAGGTGGAGGGAATCTGTGGGATTTTTGCTTCTTCGAGTGAATGAAGACATTTATTACGGTCTTTAAAAGATGATTTGTCTATGATAATTGGAAAGTAAAGGAGTTTTTCGCACCGCATTGTTCTACGCAGTTAGACGCCTATTTATTTGGCTTCATTATTTTTCTCTTTAGAGATACAATGTTTTTTCATCATCAAAATAGTCAGGTTTTTGCGGTCACTGCTTGAAACTGTTGAGCCTAAAAACCACGACGGCCTAAAACCCGAAAAACTCACCAGTTTCACAAATTTGAATTAACTTGCAATAATTCTGAGAATTAAGCAGAATCGTTTGGGAAATTCACGTAAAGTGTTTTCCGAAAATGTTGAAAGCACGTCTTTTTAGAATAAGTTTCGTCTGTGGTTATTTCAAGATCATTTTGTAAAAAGTGATTTTATAATTTCATCAGCTGCTTTCATTTGAAGCAACGTTTCATTTCAAAGTACTGATTTTGTATCGAGGACAAGTCAGCTCGCGGATGATCGTCCTGTTAATAAAAAAAACTGAAAGAGAACACTGAGTTTGGAAGAAATTGAAAGTACTCAAAGACACTCAGCTCCTTAACGGCTAAATGTTTGGATAGTTTTGGGTGCTTCCTTAACTCTCTACTTCCGAGACAGTGGAAAAAGGTGCTGAGCTTAAAACTCAATCGATGTTGTGAAAAAATACACCTTTAGTTGCTCTTGAAGCAGGGGCGGATCCAGCTTTAAAGTCCCCCTGACTTATGTAGAAAAATACATGGGTTATGTAGAAAAATACAGTCTTCTGTTATCTATGAAATTAGAAAAATGATCGCCGTTTTGTGCAAGGGTGGCGCAAGATTGCAAAGTTTCATGTTTTTCGTCCCGTTTTGCATGTTTCTCGGAAGCAAAATGAGCCAGAACGGTCGTTTTTACATCATTCCAGAGATAACTAAATGGCCTTTATTCGATTAGTAGTTTTGACCCAGAAAGCAAAATTTGAATATCAAATACTTAGGTTCAAGATTATGCCAAAATTTTATGTTTTCCGTCCCGTTTTTCCTCATCTCTCGGAGGAAAAATGAGCAAGAACGCTCATTTGTACATGATTCTAGAGATAAATAAATCGCATTTTTAGAAAGTGAAGCATCGATAAGGAAATGTTGGCAGTTTTCTCAAAAAAGACTTGAATTCAAGAAGTTTTAGATTTGCGTGGTTTTTTTTTAGTTGCAAAATCCACTTGAACATGACGCTGCTTTTTTCGAAGTTTCTTAAGAACCATTCGAG